TTCTCTTTCTTTCTCGCGCGCACACACACACACGATGCGCAAAACTCCGCATTTGAACAGTCAATAGCAAATACTTAAACTAGTAACAAAACATACTTACAGTAGCTGATTCAGAAGTGCCAGATTGTCATAGCAAAGTCAGAATTACCTCCTCTCCTAGGTTCATGAAACGGTCGTCCATAAAATGCATTGCTGTTCTGTTGTAAGTGATCTTAAAGATTCCTAAATGCATCTACTTTCGGAAGGCCAAATAAAGTGCTTTTGCTTTTGCCTAGAAACACACAGCGTCTCCCTGACATGGCTGCTTCAACACTAACTGCGGTTACTGAAACCACGCCTTCTTTCTTTGCGTGCACATGCGGGGGCATTATGCAAATATTCCCACATAGTGAGGTAGATATGTGGGGGCGTGTTAGAACGAGCCGTTTTAGGGGGGTGTGGCAGAGTCTTAACTTTGATAAAGAATATCTCTTTGGTTTTGAGACTTTAGTCTTTGCAACTTCAGGGATCTTATCTATTCACGAACAGCTTGTAACACTCCAAAGAGAAAGGAAAACTTGAAATCGCATCATATGACCCCTTTAAGATGTACTGCAACAACAAACATTTTTCAACATCTCAGTCTTGCTCACTGTGACCCATGAGGTTCATGGAGGAGCCAGTTTGACCCAGGCAGCAGATTCACTGTCCAAACAGGCAATCATGTCACTCAGAAGACCACCACTCTCCGGCCTCTCACTACTGCTGAGAGATTCTGCAAAAGTGATCACACATTCACTGGTTTGTTAGGTACATTTCGTTTTCAGGTACATACTACAGCAAATATTTTAAGCTGACCTAGTTATTACTCCTGTCCTGACACATAAAATCCCATATTCTCTCTTTACTAGAGTAAACACCAATACTGTAGGAATGAAGACACTCTTGTAATTTTCAATCTCTTACCAATTCTATGTTCAGTCAATTTCCTAATCACAGGGTTTGGGAAATCATAGATGCTATCAGTCACTCCTGTAAATGGAGAACAATTACGACACACTATGCTGAATATATGAACTTTGACTGTAAATTTCTAATGTGAGTGGGTGGAGACTTACCATGTTCTCCCTCATTGGTTGACCATTTAGAAGGGGGACTGTCATAGATGGCTTCTTCAGCAACTGCAATAAATCATTCGAAATCATCATCAATCAATTAATATTGTAATAGATAAAAGCAATGAACAATAATTTTACCAATGAATCAGTATTACACAGTAGGCAAGGCAAACCTAAATGCAGACATGTGAACATACCACATACCATTTTATATTTAAAAAAGCATGCCCGAATAAAGAACATTATCCATACCTTTTCGAGATGGTAAAACATCGTAGTCATAGTCCGTCAGTAAAAACTCCTCAGTACTTTGCTCCATTTCATTGTCTGTGTGCAAACTGTCTTGTGTCTCATCAGCAACTGAGGACAAAAATTGTAAGAATGATTCTTGTAAGAATGTACATAGACATCCATAAATGTATTTGAGTTCTTTTGCCTGGGACGTTTTCCCAGACACAAGATTGACAAGGAATTTCATCTGCTGAAGGGAATAACTTTAAGAGATGGTTCACCCAAAACTGAAAAATCTATCCTATTTATGTGTTGTTCCAGACAATTAAAGTCCATTACATGCATCTGAAAAACCAACATTAAATGGTCTATTTTTGTGTGAACTAACCCTTAATATTTTAAATTGCTTTTCCAATAAAATAAAGGCATTTTATCATTACACTGTCACCCTCTGGTTTACATAGTTTTGGTCTGAAAGACACTTATCTGTTTGTAATTTATCAATATGACCTCATTGACTCACACAATCGGATGAGAACAAAACATTTAACTTGATTAAACAGGATGATGGCACTATTGTTTTCTGTAGAGAGTGCATCCTGCAACATGCCTAACGTAGAACTGCCTATAGCTGATCAATTAACTTCACACTTTATTGATCTGAACTGACCTGAGCTAAATAATGACACTATTGTCTTTTAGAGCTACTTTACAGCAGAATCTGAATATATGAACTTCATAACTGAGTTTCCATAATTGCTCATAGAAATTACTATTTCCTGTTTATCTCTGTGAAGCTGTTTTGACACAATCTGTATTGTATATAAAGTGCTACAGAAATAAAGGTGACTTGAGACTGACAGTTCTGTTAAAGGGTTAGTTCACCCAAAAATGAAAATTAGCCCATAAATTACTCACCCTCAAGTCATCCTAGGTGTATATGACTTTCTTATTTCAGACGAATCCAGTCGGAGTTATATTAAAAATTGTCTTTGATCTTTCAAGCTGTTTAATGCCACTCAGCGGGTGTTGCATGCATCAGTCCAAAAGAAGTTAAATAAAAAGCCCATCCATAAAAAACACTGTCTCACACGGCTCCGGGGGGTGAACAAAGGCCTTCTGTAGCGAATCAATGCGTTTTTGTATGAAAAATATCCATATTCAAAACGTAATAATCACTTTAATGTAGCTTGCGCCAACAGTCCTACACGGAAGCAGTTCCGCGTTCGTCACTTCTGAGCGGCGCATGCGCAAAGCCGACCTCCTGTTAAAGGGTTAGTTCACCCAAAAATGAAAATTAGCCCATAAATTACTCACCCTCAAGTCATCCTAGGTGTATATGACTTTCTTATTTCAGACGAATCCAGTCGGAGTTATATTAAAAATTGTCTTTGATCTTTCAAGCTGTTTAATGCCACTCAGCGGGTGTTGCATGCATCAGTCCAAAAGAAGTTAAATAAAAAGCCCATCCATAAAAAACACTGTCTCACACGGCTCCGGGGGGTGAACAAAGGCCTTCTGTAGCGAATCAATGCGTTTTTGTATGAAAAATATCCATATTCACAACGTAATAATCACTTTAATGTAGCTTGCGCCAACAGTTGTGCACGGAAGCAGCTCCGGGCTGATGATAGTGATGGGTCATTCTTGAACGATTCGTTCATTTTGAACGAATATTTAATGTGACTCGGGAAGAACGAGTCGTCTCGGGGAGTGATTCGTTCAGTCGCGCATGCGCAACATCCTATAGGTTCTGTACTGGAATTAGTCAAGTAGTTCACCTGTTTCGAGTCTTCGGGTTTTTCGAGTCGTTCGTTCATCACGTGACAGCCCCATAAGCTTAACCAATGCAGTCTGAGCCGGAAAGAGAATTGATTAGTTCATCTCTCGAGTCTTCGGGTTTGAGTCGTTCGTTCATCACGTGACAGCCCCATAAGCTTCACCTATGCAGTTGAGCCGGAAAGAGACTTAATAATAATAACTAACTCTTTATTATCTTTGTTACAACATTCAGTGTTATGGAAAAGAACCATCATGACATTTATAAACTGTAAGTAAAAAGCTACAATTTGAGACCAGAAACGCATCACGTAACTGTAGGAGTAAATAATAATGATAATAATAATAATAATAATAACTATGCATCCGTTTGTAAGGAAGCTTGTAAATTAACTAATTTCTCTATCCAATGCTGTCATGTCATGTGACAAAAGAACGAACGATTAGAAAGACTCGAGAGATGAACTAATCAATTCTCTTTCAGGCTCAGACTGCATTGGTTAAGTTTATGGGGCTGTCACGTGATGAATGAACGACTCAAACCTGAAGACTTGTCAGATAAGAGGTGAGGTGAGCTAATCATAGACTGAAGACCCAGGTAAACAATGAATTAATCTTTTGTTTCTTATAGCATTATAGTTTTGTATTGTTTGTAATGGGATCAACGTTTGCGTAAGTAGTAGACGTCTTAGGGAAGTAACACGTAACATTTTAATTATATTTTGCTAAAATGAATGAAATGAACGAAATGACTCGAAAAAAAGATTCATTCATTTTGCTGAACGAGACTCAAAGGTCCGAGTCTGTAAAATGATCCGAACTTCCCATCACTAGTGTAAACTGCGCATGCTCCTTGACCTTGCGCTCAAACCACGCCCGCTTGATGTCGTCAGACCTGAAACACCCAGTATTTAGTCTGTGCCTCACTTCGCAAAGCCGACCTCATACGTCATCCTCCCGGAACCGCTTCCGTGTACAACAGTGAGCGCGAGCTTCATTAAAGTGATCATTACGTTTTGAATATGGATATTTTTCTTACAAAAACGCATCGATTCGCTACAGGAGGACTTTGTTCACCCCCCGGAGCTGTGTGAGACACTTTTTTTTATGGATGGGCGCTTTTTATTTAACTTCTTTTGGACCGATGAACTGCGACACCCGCTAAGTGGCATTAAACAGCTTGAAAGATCAAAGACAATTTTTAATATAACCCTAACTGGATTCGTCTGAAAGAAGAAAGTCATATACACCTAGGATGACTTGATGGTGAGTAATTTATGGGCTAATTTTCATTTTTGGGTGAACTAACCCTTTAAAGGTATTACAGAAAAACATTAAAAGTCAACAGGATGTGAAACAGGAGAATGTCGAATGTAGAACATACCAGCGAAGGACTGGAATGACTCTTGATCAATGGAGAGACATCTGCTGTCCACTGAAGTGCTGCTGGTCTCAGTATTTGATTCTTCACACTGGCTAGACCGAATTTCAGGGTTGTTATCTCCCTAATCTCAATAACACACCAAACACATTCAGAGCATTATAAATCTCATACAAAAACAACCACTGGCGTGACGTGTCTTAAAGAGCAGTGGTACCCATTGGTGATAGATCCAGATCTGTCTGGGTCATTGAGCAGCATGGCTTTCCACAGCTGGTCCATCCACTCCTGCCTGACATCAGCTGTATCTGCTGCCTGTTAGCACACAGTTCACAAATATTTATGGATAGAAGGGACATAAAGAGAGCATTCATAATTCTTTCAGTCACAACAAGCGCAATCCATGTTCCTTTTTGAAACTATTATGACAGTCCTGCCTTACTCTCAACAAAGTAACATTGTTCACAGGTGGTTTTTGGTAGAACACATCCTCAAACACAGATTACAGACACTCTCTTGATCAACGAAGAAAAAACTCACCAGCATTTTCTTCTTCCCATTTTTCATTGTGATCTCAAATAGATAGCGATTGCTCTCAGATCTGCTGACCTCCCGCACAGACTGAACCTGTTTAGCCATGTGAAGAGAGCATGTAGTTAACATGAGAAGCACATATTTGGCCTTCTAAAAATCAGTTTACCAGCATCCATACAACTAAACTCGGATAATATTACAACCCAACTTTACCTCATATATGTAATACTGGCCTCTGAGGTCTTAACTATTGGGAGTTGGAGAGAAACAATGGATTAATAGCCATGGCAACAAGAGCCTTTGCCAATATGTCAGTAAGTAAAACGTATTTTTAATCTAAAGCAAGGGTCCTCAACAGGTGGGCCACCGTTTTTAAATCTTAAAAACACGTAGCACAAAACAGTACTATTTTTATCTGACATCAGCAGTACACTTTTAAAAAGCATCATAAGAATTATTAAATTAAACACTTGAATACTTGCAGCACTCCCATGTTTTTGAGTGTAGAAAAAGAGAGTTGTATTGTAAAGTCTGAACCAGCAAGTCACCCACCGAAGCCTCTGAGGAAAACACATTCAACCGAGTAAAGAGGTTCCCTTAGGTGTATACATTATGTAATAATTGCATAAATTCTGCAATAAATATAAAGAGAGAATATAAAGCATTCTGGAACAGGCTTTTTAAATTAACTGAGTATTTAGCAATAACTCTTTTTTTAGTCACACGGTTCCTGCAAATAACAGACATGAAACGCTAGCAATATGTTCATTATAGTCATACCATTTTGTCTTTCCGTTTCTTCAGAAAGCCCTGGCAGAGCGGAGCTGGCGCTACTCCGGTGGACATGCTCATGGCTCTTTGTATGCTGAAAGTGTTCACACTTCACCATAAACCTAAATCAACATCATGACTTCCCCCTGAAACAGTCACATCCTCACTTCTGATCTTTGTATAATAAAGAGACGCTGTCCTCCAATACGGCGGAGGTTTTTGTTAATTTGCTTTGCAGTTCTCAATTTTATTAAATTTGTACTCAACTGATTTCCATTTTTGAAAAGACTGCAAAAGATGGATAAAAAAAAAAAAATCCCAATGAAGTACAATTCGAGTAGGTGTCTCAAAAGCAAACACAAGACAGATTTATTCACACCATAATTTATTGTAAATGTTTGAAAACCCACATGTGCAACAATCCCATGGTTTTGAACAGGGAAACTGCATTGAAAGTTACATATGCATAAGAGCTGAAACATTAGAACAAACATGACGTCTCTACATGATTGTTAGTTAGGAAGAATTCATAGTCTTTATAATGTAGCAAGCAGGTCCTTATTAGTCTGGTTTGGAATGAACCAATTTACGCCATCTCATTACTAAACATAAAAGGTTTTTTTTTCCTGTGCATAATCTTTACAAAGGCCATGGGTAGAAAATAAAAAAACAAATCATCAAAATAAAAACCAAATATTGCATAAAAGAATCCATAGCTCTATGACTGCTTCAAGCAATGCCAAAAAAAAAAACCAGAAATAAGGCTAATAAATTAACATACAGTAGCTGAGATGTGCCAAGAGTAAAATGACCTTTACATGTGAGAAATGGCTTTGTTTCAGTGCTTCTCCCACAAGCACGAGTGTATCTCTATGTGATACAGTTCAAATATGGTTTGTTCACTAACTAGAGACAATCTTCAAGTGTCCAGTAAGATATATACACATATAAACATAGTGTTGTCACCTATCTGTAAACCCTCACGCTCTGCTGTCTCTTCAGTATAGGTCACACCAATTAATACTGACCTGAGGAAAACATCAGTGTGCATGAATAAAAACCTCATGTCGGAACAGCAGAGGACACGATTACAGCTCCCGCCGTTAATGTAGATGTCCTGTTCCACCACATGGCTGATGAGGTGAGTTCCTATAACACTTGGTTCGGGAAAGGCAGTTTTAACTATACAAAATGTAGCTAACTATTACTAGGAATCTTCTCTCCTAAATGAAATCAGGATGGAATGAGGGATCATGGGTTTTGTAGTTTCTCAGAGGGCCGGGGTTGCTGTAACATGCCGGATGCACTGATCACCGCTGCTTGAGGAGAGCTTTGTACATGGCGAAGCCAAGAACAGCAAACACGGTGGCACCGACGCTCGCCCTCAGCCAAAATGTAGAGTTTTTCAGGTCAGCTTGGGTCATGTGTCTGAAAAAAAGAGCCAAAGTGAAGGAAAAAAGTGGATGTTTGTTAATAAAACATAAGTGCACTCATATGGTTTGTGAGATGACAAACGACTAAATGTCTAAATATTACTAGCACTAGAAAATAGGATTTTCAATTAACATCCCTAAATCACCAATTATATACTACTATTATGTACAAATATATATACCATTATTTGAAAAAACAATCTCTCCCAAATTCCCATTTCCACAATGCAAAAAACAAAAAAATTACAGTTGTTAAAAATTAATGATGTAATTACCAATAACAATACATTAAAAATATGCAGATATCAATGATGCATTATATAAAAACTAAAGTATGTTTCACTGCTTTCAAAAACCAAAAAATTATGTAATATTGAGTAATTTTTGTTTCACAGGCAAAAGGCATTAAACTAAAAGAAAGTCCTTCAAAGGTAAGTAAATAGGCTTCATGTAGATTATGCAACATTATTGTTTTTTTATATATTTATTATTTTTCGTAGGGGGATTTGGGGTGAAATGTGACCTTGACAGGTTTTATGAAATTTACCCTGACAATAATTTGAGCATATAATAGTGTTAATACTTAGTAAAAATGTATTTTGTTTCGCCTATTGGATATCCCATGATATACACAGACAGATACGCTGTTGAAATGGGGAACGAGGTAGCATGGGAAAGCAGAGGAAAGCATGAGAGAGCCAGCTAATGTTTTCAGGGGCTGAACATGTTTAAAGGCACACCGCTCAGAAGATAAAGACATGGTCAAAGTGAGAAACCGAACAGAAACAAGAGGTCTCTGGTGAGATGAAACCCACCCAACACAAATCCAGAAGGTTTAACTCCCTTCAAAAAGCTCAACGCTGCACATCCAAACTCAAGACGGAGACACAAAACTTTAAAGGTTTATCAGATCAATGTTTTGTGTGCGTGAAACCTATGAAAATATGTAGCTGAAAAAAGCGCTCATTAAAGCAACAAAGGTGGCATTCACAACGCAACAAATAAGTACACATTGAGTAATCTTAAATCAGATCAGTCAGTGACATCTGCAGATACCTTAAGGATGTGGTGAGAAAAATAAAATAAAAGTAAATAAGAATTTCATTTAACCACCTCACTTAAAACCAGTCAAGCAGAATCCTTATTTGAACTTAAAATGCCATTTAAATTGTGGCACCTTGTAGTCCAGTGAGCGGGGCCTTTACCTGTTACAAACGGGCACAAACGGGTCGACAGACGACTCCATGTAGATCGAGTCCTCTACAAAGCTGACTGCATGAACCTGATGGGTGAGGCTGGACTCCTCATCAGTCAACAGAAACGTGCCCACATCTTGTATAAAAGGCCTCAACCTTATGCACACATGCACACAGCATGGCAGTTCAACAACCGCACACCCGACAGGACCATCCCAATGTACCCCACAGCTCACCACATGCTGTAAACACACACACTCTTACACACCCACTTATTAATGTGAAATAGCAGCTTTGTCACTGAAAAAAAATCTTTTTTCTTCATATTTAATGACTGGTTATTTAGTGGCTTTAATGTATATTAAGCAAATCTGTTATAACGTTTTTAAAATGTATTTATTTATTTATATATCCCTTGTGCGTCAATTAAAAAAAAAGTTACACATAGGTCCATAGTGGACAAAAATGTCCATGTCAAAAAATTTCAAAAATTTGAAGCACAGAGTTAAGTTTGGTCTCATTTTAAAGAAGACCCATGGCAGATTATTGTTGAAGTAAAAAAAGTTTAAAAAGTGAAACAAAAAAAAAAAAAAGTTCTAGATGTTTAGGTTTATGAAAATGATTTATGAACGATGTTTTATATAAAATATATATTTTATGAAACATGTTGAACTCTATACCTGCTAGAAACTCAAAGCCGTAAATCTAAACAAGTTGTATTCCAAATTTGAGGTTGATATCTCAAAAAATGAGCTTTCAGTAAAATTTAGTTTGGGCGCAGTACCAAATTTTCCCCATTAGATGCCAGCAAAACTCTGCTGGTGCACACAGTGGTTGGATTTGT